AAAAACCCAGGAGAAAGACAGTATACACATTTCTCGGAAGTAAAAAAATCAGCCGGCAGAATTGACAGCATATGGGTATCAAATAACTTAACAACTAAAATTAAAAAAGCAGAAATACAGACCAAAATTATTACAGATCACAACCCAGTCACATTAGAATTAAAGGAATACAAGAAAACTAATAAAAGATGGAGACTTAATGAAAGAATATTAAATGATGAAAAGACTGTGAAAAAAGCGCAAGAACTAATGAAAGAATTTTTTGAATTAAATAAAGAACAGGATACAGACCAGACATCAGGACAATATGGGATGCAAGTAAAGCTTTCATATGAGGCTTTTACATACAACAAAGTGCAATAAGGAAAAGAAACAGAGAGCAAAAACTAGAACAAATAAGGAAAGAAATAGGAATAAATGAAAAATTATTAACAAAACAACCAAAAAATGAATTAATAAACCAAAAACTAAAAATATTACAAACCCAGGCCTCAGCAATATTAAATAGTGAAATTGAGGACAATATTAAATGGATGAAACAAAGGTCGTTCGAATTTGCAAATAAACCCGGAAAGATGCTAGCCTGGCAATTGAAAAAAAGACAAAAGGAAAAACTGATTGATAAAATAGTGGAAGAAGGGAGAACTTTAGATAATCCTGAGGAAGTTAAAAAGTGCTTTATAAAATATTATAATAAGCTATATAAAGCAGGAAATGAGACAGAGGATGAAATAAAAGAGTATTTATGTGGAAAGGATATACCTAAAATTAAGAAAGAAAAGATTCAAGATCTATTTTTGTTATGATTATACATTGAAAATAAAAAAAAATAAAAAAAGAAGAAGAAAGATTTGGGCCAAACTTATTCAGGGACAGCCCCATGGAGGCCATGCTTTCCACCAAGTCCCGAGCGGCCCCTTGTAAGGTCATGTCAGCGTGTATGTAAAAAAAAGTAGGTGTCTTCAGGAGAACATCCACCACGACCTGAAGCAGCTTGGGCAGGGAATCCTTGGAACATGCACTCGGAGAACTTGGTCTTCCCAATAGGATGCCTGGTGCAAGCTAATGGCTTCCTAAAAATCACTGGAACCCCACCCCTCCGTGCTCACATGACCACATGCTGTGCGTAAGAGAAACCTGGTGGACAAGCAGCGGCAAGGACAGGCCCATCTGCTTCATCCAACCAAGTCTCTGTTACACATGCCAGGTCAAGTCCTCCCTCCACGATCAAGTCATGGATGGCCGTGGTCTTATGAATCATTGACCTATCAGCTATCACACCTTCAGGTCATGTGGGTCTCCCTTGCTGATTCCAGGATCCATTCAGTCAAGACCAGACCCGGAGGCAGGGATAGTCCTCAAACAGCAACTAAATCTGCTTCCTTGGTAATGACGCGGTCTGGCCTTAGCGTAACTCCTCCTCCTACCCGTGGTCACTGAGATCGGATGACCCAGTGCACACCCCCCTCGTGGAAACTGCCCCAGCCATTCTGTTGGCTGGGGCCCACTCCCAGGAAGACCTTAAAACAAAACACAAACTATACAACAGCTGATAAAACAATAAAAAGCAAAAACAAAACAGCAACAACAATTATACTTAAATTAACCCCCAACCAGATGTCCATCCCATCCTCAACAAAGCAAAAGGGGGGGGGGGAGAGAAGAAAAAACTAAAAATGCCATAAACTGCTTAAGAACATATTAAAACACATTAGACACTTGAAACAGGGAAGCAATAGTAGAAACCCCCCCCCCGCCTGCAATTCCCCAAGTTTGTTCCAATGAATCCAGCCCCTCCCTCTAGGCACTGCAGCAGGAGTCCTTTTGTAGCTGGGAGGGGGAGGGCCTGGGCCCCGCCCTCTAGGCCAGTTGGAAAAAGCCTTGGAAGGGAGCAGCACAGCCGATAAATCATATTCTCATCATAAATGAGTAATACTTTCTCATGCATTTTTTTTATGCTAATATACAAAGGTATATCATTTCCCCTTCCAGAAATGCTGAACTGCTAATTCAAGGGACACTGAAGTCCTTGCAGAGATGACAGGACAGCTTTGCAGATTAGGTAGCTGGGAGTGAGACAGTTGGCAGAGTGGCATTGGGCTTGCTAAGATGCCAAATACTACAGGAATTGCGTTCTTAGCACTGTAATACCATTTTAATTTTTTAAGATTGTTTTTTCAGTCATGGCAATGTGTGAGGAAATTATCCACATCTGCCAAGCTTTCAGGAGCAGGACTAAGGGCTCTTCCTCACCGTCTGTGGACAACACTGTTTTTATTTATTGTCATGGTACAGAAGATAAATTTTGAGAAGGCAACGCCAGAATCTCTTATATTTACCCTCCCCCTTCCGCTCTTCTTTGAGGTGTTCCCAACACCGAGATCAAGGACTGAGAGCTTGGACTGGCTCTTCCTCACCATCTGTGGACGCTTCCAAGGCTATCTGACCTGTTGGCAGCCTGTCCTTGCCTTGGCGCCTCCAGCTCTCATCTCCCATCTTCCTGTTCATTATCATCATTTCTACCTACAGGTTTGTTGGGGTTGAGATTATTGAGCTGATGATGGTATGATTTTTCATCAATAAATATTATTTGTCCTTATGTGTAAGTGAAGTCACATTTGAAACAATACAAAAGCAGTCAAAGGGAATTTCCTAGGAGGTGTTTTATTCAGTCTCACCTGTAATTATGTGTGTTCAACACACAGAAACAAATAGATAATGTGAAATTACTGGGTGTTACAGTGTCCAAATAGGGACGCGGGTGGCGCTGTGGGTAAAACCTCAGTGCCTAGGACTTGCCGATCGTATGGTCGGCAGTTCGAATCCCCGCGGTGGGGTGAGCTCCCGTCGTTCGGTCCCAGCTCCTGCCCACCTAGCAGTTTGAAAGCACCCCTAAGTGCAAGTAGATAAATAGGTACCGCTTTATAGCGGGAAGGAAAACGGCGTTTCCGTGTGCTGCGCTGGAGCTGGCTCGCCATAGCAGCTTCGTCACGCTGGCCACGTGACCCGGAAGTGTTTCCGGATAGCGCTGGCCCCCGGCCTCTTAAGCGAGATGGGCGCGCAACCCTAGAGTCGGACACGACTGGCCTGTATGGGCAGGGGTACCTTTACCTTTTTACAGTGTCCAAATAACACTCAACACATGCAAGCAGATTAATGGCTCCCCACCTCCTTTTTTGAAAAAGTTGTTTTTATTTATTTTCATGGTACAGAAGATAGTTACAACATTAAACAACAAATCACTTGTCTTGATGAAATTACACACTTTATTCTTGCCATGTGTTACACTTTCATTTGATTATTCTAAAATTTATCATTTGCCCGATAATAAAATTTATCATTTGCCCGCCAAAATTTATCATTTGCCCGATAATAAATGTTGGAAATGTAAAGAAACTGAAGGTACATTCTTTCACCTTTGGTGGACGTGCCCAAAGATTAAGGCTTTCTGGGAAATGATATATAATGAACTGAAAAAGGTATTTAAATATACCTTTCTGAAGAAACCAGAGGCCTTTCTCTTGGGCATTGTCGGCCAACTGGTGCCAAAGAAGGACAGAACCTTTCTCATGTATGCTACAACAGCAGCAAGAATACTTATCGCAAAGTATTGGAAGACACAAGATCTACCCACTTTGGAAGAATGGCAGATGAAGGTGATTGACTACATGGAATTGGCGGAAATGACTGGCAGAATCCGAGACCAGGGAGAAGAGTCGGTGAAAGAAGACTGGAAGAAATTTAAGGACTATTTACAGAAATATTGTAAAATTAAGGAACTTTAGAAGGATGCTGGATAGAAATTAAGAGGTTTTTAGCTGTAATGCTTTAAGAGACATGGGGGGAAAAAGGTTAACAATTGGGTAAAAGATTAATGGTAAGGATTTGCTGAACCAACAAACTGAATTGGAATACAAAGAAGGGAGGTATGAGGAGGTCTGGGGAAATAAGAGTAAGGAAGATAGGTTATGGAACATTAGTGTGTTTTTAACTGTTTTATTTTGTATGTTTTTTCTTACTTTTTGCTTTTTTGCTGTAATTTATACTTTTTTCTTTGTTTTCTGTATTTTTGTGAAACTTTAATAAATATCATTTAAAAAAAATAAAATAAAATATTACATCACCTTTTCCCATGAGTGCTGGGTGGATTCTTAACAATTTATGTATTGAATAAACATTGGCTTATTCAACCTTATTCAAAGCTTTACTGAAATCAAGATGCACTATTTCCACAGCTTTCCCCTGATCAACAAAGTTTGTAACTCTATCCAAAAAAAGGGGAGGAGATATTTCTCTGGCTTGACTTGTTTTTGAGAAAGCCATGCTTTCATCCTGTATGTTTATATTGTGAAATCTTCAGATGAAGGACACATCAATTTTAAAAATGGTAATAAATAAGAAGGATACTGACAAGCTGGAACATGTGCAAAGGAAGACAAACAAGATGATATTATTTTATTATTGCATTTATTTAATTTCTATACCACCTTATACCAGGGGTGCCAACTTGAATAAGATACTGGGGGAGAGGTAAGTCCCGCCTTGCATAATCAATCACATGGTGTGGTGTATGCACACCATTTGAATGGCAATGCCTATCAACTGGGGGGGTGGCCCCTCAAATATTTTAGGCAGAAACAAAGACCTCTCAGCCTTTAAGTGTTGCCTCCTATGCCCTATACCCTCAGGGCAGTTTCAAAATTAAATCACAATATAAAAAACAAAACAAAAAATTAAAAAAAACGTAACCCCCCAACACACCACATTTTAAAAGGCCATTTGATGTCAATCAGCCAAAGGGTTGGGTAAAGAGGTGTGTTTTTCCATGAAGCCTAAAGCTGTATCATGAATGTTTTTATCTGCCCTTTGCATGAATTATTTCATGAGAACTGAGAGAGGAGCTATAGCTGAAGCAATTGTATGGTTTCTCCCATATGAATTCTTTGATGGGAAGTGACATTGTGGCTGTGACTGAGGCGCTTTCCACATTCCAAGCACTGCTAGGATTTTGCCCCTCTGTGAATTCTCTGATGCTTAGCGAGATAGGAGCTCGTACTGAAGTTCCTTCCACATTCCACACAATTATAGGGTTTCTCCCCTGTATGAATTCTTTGATGGGAAGTGAGGTCAGAGCTCTTCCTGAAGCTCTTTCCACATTCCACACACTGATATGGTTTCTCCCCTGTATGCATTCTTTGATGGCAACTGAGAGCAGAGCTACAGCTGAAGCTCTTTCCGCATTCCACGCACTGATATGGTTTCTCGCCTGTATGAATTCTTTGATGGGAAGTGAGACAGAAGCTTGTAATGAAGCTCTTTCCACATTCCACACACTGATAGGGTTTATCCCCTCTGTGAATTCTCTGATGGGTCATGAGATTGGAGCTCTTACTGAAGCTTTTTCCACATTCCAAGCAATTATATGGTTTCTCCCCTGTATGAATTCTTTGATGGGAAGTGAGAGAGGAGTTGTGACTGAAGCTCTTTCCACATTCCAAGCAAGTGTATGGTTTATCCCCTGTATGAATTCTCTGATGCTTAGTGAGATCGGAGCTCGTACTAAAGCTCTTTACACATTCCGCACACTGATAGGGTTTCTCCCCTGTATGAATTCTTTGATGGGAAGTGAGATTGGAGCTTGTACTGAAGTTTTTTCCACATTCCACACACTGATAGGGTTTCTCCCCTGTATGAATTCTTTGATGGGAAGTGAGATTGGAGCTTGTACTGAAGTTTTTTCCACATTCCACACACTGATAGGGTTTCTCCCCTGTATGAATTCTTTGATGGAAAGTGAGATCGGTGCTCCGACAGAATCTCTTTCCACATTCCACGCACTGATAAGGTTTCTCCCCTGTATGAATTCTTTGATGGGAAGTGAGATCGGTGCTCCGACAGAATCTCTTTCCACATTCCACGCACTGATAGGGTTTCTTCCCCGTATGAATTCTTTGATGGGAAGTAAGAGAGGAATTGTGACTGAAGCTCTTTCCACATTCCAAGCAATTGTATGGTTTATCCCCTGTATGGATTCTTTGATGGGAACTGAGATCGGTGCTCCGACAGAATCTCTTTCCACATTCCATGCACTGAAAGGGTTTCTCCCCTGTATGAATTCTTTGATGGTCAGTGAGGTGGGAGCTCCTTCTGAAGTTCTTTCCACATTCCACACACTGATAGGGTTTCTCCCCTGTATGAATTCTTTGATGGGAAGTGAAAGACGAGTTGTGACTGAAGCTCTTCCCACAGTCTACGCACTGATATGGTTTCTCCCCTGTATGAATTATTTGATGGGAAGTGAGATTCGAGCTCATACTGAAGCTCTTTCCACATTCCACACACTGATAGGGTTTTTCCCCTGTATGGATTCTTTGATGAAAAGTGAGATGGTGGCTCTTACGAAAGCTCTTTCCACATTCAGCACATTTATAGGGTTTCTCTCCTGTATGAATTCTCTGATGGGAACTCAGAGATGAGCTCGCACTGAAGCTTTTTCCACATTCCACACACTGAAATGGTTTCTCCCCTGTATGAATTATTTGATGGGAAGTGAGATGGGAGCTATGATTGAAGCTCTTTCCACATTCCATGCACTGATAGGGTTTCTTCCCAGTGGGATTTCTTTGATCTGAAGTGGAATAGAAACTTTTTCCACTTTCAAGATATTTATAAGGCTTCTCCATTGTGGGGATTATGTCCTGGTCACCCTTGGTCTTGATTTCCAGTTCATCTGCAATGAAGAGAGAAATTGATTAGTGCCTATTGGAGAAAAAGAGCCCACAATTCATGAAGAATACTTGTTAACATTGGTAATAGAAGAATAACACATGGGTTAGATGAATAGTTTTTACTACAGGGTTGGATGCATATATTAGCAGGGATCAACTGACATCCTTTATATAATAATTTTTTTAATTGGATTTTCAATTAAATGTTTACATAGACAATCAAATAGAAATAATAAGAAATACAGGATTCTCTTGAACTCTTGGACTTCCCACCACCCCTCCCTGGGTTACATATTTATCCTTTTCTTCTGCATATTTTATCTTTCTGTATTATTTCATTTTTCCATAGTATCTCAAGTCCTTGTTACATTACCAGTGTTATTTAAGTCCTTGTAAAGATTTCAATTGTTTACAGTGTTTTTCCAAATACAATGTGAATTTCCCCCATTCTTTAATGAAGTCTTGGTCTTCGTGGTTTCAGATTTTCCCAGTCATTCTTGTATCTCAGCATAGTCCATCCATTTAGTTTGTCATTCCTCTCTTGTAGGGACCTTATCATATTACCATCTCTGGGCCACAATCATTCACATGGCTTTCATTGCATACATAAAATGTTTTTTCTGCACCTTCGGTTTTTCTGCACCTATAATTCCTAATAATAAAGATTCTGGGTTTTTTAACAAATGCCATTTTAAACTGTTTTTTTAGTTCATTATATATCATTTCCCAGAACTCTTTCATTATTTTACAATTCCACTACATATGATAAAAGTTGACTTCTTTCTCTTTACATTTCTAGCAAATGTTAAAACCTGTTCCATACATTTTTGCTAATTTACATGGAGTTATGGGACTTCTGAATGGCTGCTGCTTGCCTCTGGACGAACAGCCTTCGAGCTCCCAATGGATTTAAAAATTCTAATATGGAACGTGAATGGACTAAATGACAAGGCAAAAAGAATTAAGATGGAGCATGCTTTAAATAAGCAAAAACTAGATTTGATATGTTTGCAAGAAACTCATGTCATACAGAAGCACAGGAGAGTTCTCTCTAATAAGAAACTAGGTCTAGAATTTGTTTTCTCAGATAAAAAACAAAAAGGGGGCATAGTGATTTATGCTAAACCACAGCTCATGCTGTTATTTAAATATCCAGAAAGAAAGATAGTCATTATCGAGATTTTGGCCCAAGGAGAAAAATTCATAATTATTGGTATCTACGCCCCAAATTTTAAAAAAGTGAATTTCACCAATTACTTGAGGAAACAACAGCAGAATATGTGGGAGAAAAGAGAATTCTCCTAGGTGATTTAAATGGAGTGCCTGTCCCAGAGATGGATAGAACAAAGAGAAAAACAGAAAACAAACAATCAAAACTACTTCTCTTCTTTTGAATGACAGAAACTTTAAACATTTACAATGCATGGAGAACAAAACACCCAACTAAAAGAGAATATACCCATATTTCAGACCCAATAACTCAGCGGGAAGGATAAATGCCATTTGGATAACTAAGGAATTAACACTGAGAGTTAGCAAAGCTGAAATAAAACCTAAAACTATTTTGGATCATAATGCAGTCTCAGTTTGGTTAAAGAAAGAGGGAAAACTACCAATGAGATGGAGACTAAATGAGAATCTATTAATCGATGATAAGATCCTGCAAAAGGCCAAACTGACGCTAAAATAATTTTTTGAACTCAACCTAAATAAAGGAATGGACAGCAAAATAGTTTGGGACACCAGTAAGGCAGTATTAAGAGGATTTTTTTATTCAGCAAAATGGCATTAATTTAAAAAAAAAAAATTGTGAAAGTAGTTTTATGTTGTTTTCCAACAATTCCTTCTCAAACCTCAATATTTCATTTGCAAAACCCTTTCTCTTATCTATTTTAAAAACCTCATTTAACTGGTGATACTGTAACCAATCTGTTAGAAGGTCTCTTATATCTTCGAATTTTTTAAATTGTTATTGCTGTTCCACTTCCATTAATAACTCCCTATATGTTACCCAATTCTTTCTCATATTTGGTTTCTTCATGATATCACTTCTAGCAGGGAGATCCACCACGGCGTTTTCTCTTCTAAAAAAATTTTATATATCTCCCATACCTCACCTATTGACTTTCTTACCACGTTTCAGGAATCCTCTGTGTACCTTCACTTTCTCATACAATAGATATGCATGCCAACCAAATCTATCACCATGTCCTTCCATAGCTAAAAGATCTGGGGTTGGTTTTTTAAAAATATTCCACTCCTGTAGCCAGCAAATACTGGACGCCTCATAATACAACTTTAAACCTGGTAGGGAGAAGCCACCTCTGTCTTTGGAATCTATTAACATCTTACATTTCATTCTTGGCTTCTCCCCTTGCCAGAGAAATCTTGAAATATCTTTCTGCCATTCTTTGAAATGTCCTGTTCCGCTAACCACTGAAATTGTTTGGAATAAAAATAAAATTCTAGGCACTACATTCATTTTTATCACAGATGTCATTCCCCAAAACTCTAAGTTTGTCTTTATTTCTCTCTAGGTAGTTGTATAGTTATCCTTAAAGAGATTTATAGAATTTGTTAATGAAACTCCTAAATATTTGACCTTTTTATTTATTGTCAGTTCCATAATTGGTTTAATTCGTTTTTATGTTGTTCCAGCATATTTTTCACCAACATATTCATTTTACCCTTGTTCAATTTGAAACCTGCTATTTGCGCAGACTCATAAATCTAATTTAAGACCCTCAATGTACTAACCCCAGGGCAGGGGTCAGCAAGATTTACCTTGCCTGGGCGGTTCAATCCAGCAGAGATCCCTCCGTGGGTGCAGACGCGATTTCCGGTGCAGCGGAAGCAAGTCCCCGCGCCACACTGCGCCGCTTTAGAACAGCGTGTGGGGACTCACCCAGTGGGTGGCTCAGTTCCGGGGCGGCTCGTGGAATGGTTAAACAACCCTTGTGGGCCATGGGTCTTAGGTTGCCAATACCTTCCCTAGGGTCTTCCACAGTTATTACAAGGGCATCTGCAAATGCTGTCAATTGATAAACATTACTACCCACCATTGCTGGACGCTTTTGGGGCTCAAGAAACCCTCTTTAGCTTTTGGGGGGCTCACCTTCTCGCTTTTCCCCGACCCCCGGGGTGATCCGAGTCAGTTCCTAGGAACTGGGCTCTCGCCCTATTGTCATTTTTATGGCAAACTGGAAGTCTCAACTGATATCCTTAGATGAACCTGTGATTTGATAAGCCTGGCTCTTCTCTTAATGGATTTTGTTTGGCTCCATCATGGCATCCCCTCCGTTTCCAATATCAGTCTTCTCTTTGGTCAACCAAAGCCTGACAGGAGCAAAACAAAAACAGAAAACCTGACAGGAGCTACTACAACTTCCCTAACAACTCAGAGGTTTACATTTAAAATTGCCTGAGCAATTCAGACCGGTCTGATAATTGTTTAAGCAGCTGCAACTGGAGGAAGAACATTCACGGTGAAAAGAATAATTCACAGTTCAAGGTTTATTGTGGGAATATTGTAATCCCAAGTGTTTTAAGGGGGCGCTGTTGAATTCTAAGAAAATATATGAGGTTCGTCACAGAGAGCTGTTTTGAATTTAAAAACAGATATTATGATCCCACGAGGAGCCTTACCAAGAGAGGCCACGATCCCACGATTCTCCTCCATGACGTCCTTATGCAGAGCTCTCTGGTCAGGATCCAGCAACGCCCACTCCTCGTCCATGAAACGAACGGCCACATCTTCAAAGCACACTGGGCCCTGAAAGAAAAAGGGAAATGTCCTACTCTGAGACAACAGTGTTGTTCATCCCTCGGCCTCTGTCCCCACAAGGCAGTTTCCCCTGACCTGATCAGGTTCCACAGCCGCTGCTTCCATTCTGCCATCATGAAAGGATGAATGAAGAGATCTAGCCAGCATCATTGTGTCATCTGTAAGATAAAAAAGGTAAGCAGGATGCCAGGAGTGCCTGCTTTTCTCACAGGTGAAACAGGGCATCTCTAACTATAGATGGGCCTTTGAGAAAGCCTTTCCTGCTGAGTGCATTTGGACATTTGTGCAAATTTCATATGTTAGTTGTGCAGAAATACATCTCTCCTCCTCTGGACACTTGTTCCCAACAGTCTCCCCAAAACAAGATGAAAAGAACCCACAGATTAGTTGGGAAAGCAACAGAATGAGAACAAATGGAGAAAAACCACCTTCCTCCTTACTCAGTGGTCTCTCTCTGGTGTCCAACGGAGACCTCTCTGCCTCACAGGAATCCAGGTCAATTTTTGCAAAGAGATCCTTTTCCTGAAAAAGAAAGGATTCAAAACAGAGAAAGGTGAGAAATATTAGAAAGGGAATTACAAAGACAAAAACTGTAAGGGTGTGAAATCATATTCCACAGATGCCTTCCTAGGAAAAGGAAGGGCCATCAGGAGAGCATTATGTTCTTCGTCCTGTTTGGAGCCCCTTGGGAGTATCCAGAGGAAAGTCCCTCTCACCTGCTTTCTCTCTGCCTGCTCTCTCTCCTCTGCCTGACTCAGGAGGAAACCTTCGGCCAGGGCCACCGCCTGGGAACTGGTCTCCGCTCCACAGTCCCTCACCCAGCTCTCCATCTCCGGTGGAAGGACAGTCAGGAACTGCTCCAAGATCACCAGGTCCAGCATCTCAGCTTTCGTGTGCCTTTCTGGCTTTAGCCACTGACGGTCAAGGTGGTAGAGTTGGCTGCAAACCTCTCGGGGTCCTTTGGCCTCCTGGCAGCAGAACTGCCTCAACTGCTGGCTCTGCATCTCTGAGCGGAGGGTGTCCTCCTCACCCAGGATCTTCTGCACAGAGTTTTCCCAGAATCCCCCACTGCTCCCAGTTTGGATGGCATGGCCTCTTCCTTCTTCAGGGCCAGCTGGGTCTTGCTTATCCATCTGTGCTCTCAGGAAGCCTCTGAGAAATTGGAAGGAACCCTTTGGTCTTCTGGCAAGTTCTGTCTGTGCCAAATCCTGTGCAAATACTACAAAGCAAATACATTGTTCTGTTATAATGCTGATATACCATAAGAAGAAGAAAAACGGTTCCCTAAGCAAGTTTCTATGGGACTTGCTAGTAACCAGTGTAGGTAGGACTGTACCATAGCCCTGACTCTGCCCAGGAAATTACCACGACAAATCTGCAGGCAACTGGAGACGGGAGAGGGGGGTTACTGGGGTGGGGTCCCTTTTTCTTAGTGTTCTTGGGGTACTCCTGGATCCAACATGTTCCCTTAAGGCTCATGTGGGGTGAGAATAAAGGCCCAAGAAGACAGACAGACAGACAGACACACACGCTCCCCATTATCATTTGGCACAATCTGGTTGATCTAAATTTGAATTCAAACAAAAATAATTGCGTTCTATTTGCATTCTCCCAGGTTCCTCAACAGACGAGCATGTTGTCCTGTTTCATTCACCCCCAAGAGGAAAAATGACTGTTACTCCTATTTAAGCCAAGCACATCCACAAGGGCTCTTGGCTATGTGTTTGACTGTGGGGTGCTGAATGTCCTGTTTACCCTTTTTCCAGATTCAGGTAAATAGCTGTGTTGGTCTGACGCAGTCGGCATATATAAAATAATAAAAACATTGTCCAGTAGCACCTTAGAGACCAACTAAGTTTGTTCTTGGTACAAGCTTTTGTGTGCATGCCCACACACAGGTCTGTATCTGAAGAATTGTGCACGCACACGAAAGCTTACTGTATAACAAGAACAAACTTAGTTGGTCTCTTAGGTGCTACTGGACAATTTTTTTATTTCCCCTTTTTCTGTTTTGGTTTAAACTACCGGGTAACTCATGAACTAAGAAGCTATACACCAACCACTAGTAGTGAAACTTATGTTGCAGATCTTGCTGCAAATATGTTGTATAATTTTTTGTGATATACAAAACCCCAGCAGAAAGTTATTCCAGAAAGAGAATAAAAAAGCAACAAAGACACCTAGGACCCAACCGGAGCTGCATCTTCGCAACAGGATCAGGCCACTTCCAAGAGTCCTGGCTTCCTCCAAAAAGCCTGGAACTGTACTTGGCTAAGGATGCTGAGAGTTGCTAGGAGACACCCCCGCCCCAGGGATCCCTAGGAATGGGAGCTCAGTTGGGGGGACGGGACGGAGAGAGAGGGTCTCCCAACCACTCTCAGCACTGGGGGGGGGGGCTGCCTCTTTCACCCCCAGCCCGGGTTTGCTTCCTTCCCAGCAGGTCTTCTCCTGCCTTGGATGGTGAGACCTTCCTTGATTCTCAGCAGGGCTTTGTGTTCAGTCTCCAAAGATCCTCTGGGGGCTTGCATGTCTGAATGGGCGCAAGTGTGCCAGCCAGGATCAGGCCAGAGGGTCCCTCTTGCGTCCAGCCTCCTCTGACCACAGGGCAACCTGGTGCCTCTCCTGCCTTGCGCCCCTGCAGGACTGGAGCACAAGAGCCAAGCTCTCCTCCTGGGGGATTCAGGAGCCCCCCACCGCCCTCTCCTCCTCCTCCTCCGTGAACTGGCCCCATCCTCTTTCAAACCACCTGGGTTGGTGGCCCCCCCTGGCTCCTGTGGGAGGGAGTTCCACAGTTCAACTCAGCACCTCCATCTTCCAAAAGGATTTATTGATTTATTGCGTAAGTTGTTGCTTTCCATTTCTTGCATTTATCTATTGTCCAAACTTTGCTGCCTGGCTGCAGCCTGTGCTAATAGACGTGACTGATTCCTAAATCTGAAGGGGGTTTATTTGTCTGCCCCTTTTCCCCTGACCCACAGACACCTCCTCAAAGGGGCAAGCTGTGCATTTATAAAAATGCAGAATATAGAGTGCTATAGTTGCAGACCTCGTGTGACCTCGCCTCTCTCTGACTGAAGTCTCTGCTTCTCTGTGCATGAGCAGATCAGGCCCCCCAGGCATCCTCCCCTCCTGCAGCCCTGGGACCCCCACCTTCTCCCCACTTCACCCTTTGGAGAGAGAGAGAGGAGACTCACCAGATCCCAGGAGAGGATTGCCCTTCCCAAAGGGATAAGCAGCGTCTGTATAGAAATGCAAGACATACAGTACTGTAGTTGCAAACCTCGCGCAACCCCGTCCCTCCTTGGCAGGACCCCCTGCTCCCGGGGCTCCCCCCCCCCCACATGAGCCACCCTTCCCTGCTGCAGCCCTGGGATCCCCACCTTCTCCCCACTGCACCCTCGGGGGGTGGAGAGAGGAAACTCACCAGATCCCCGTGGAAGAGAACAATGCAGCCTTTGCAATAGCAGAAAGCAACCCCGCCCCCCCCCTGCAAGAAGGGGAGGGAGGGGCTTTTCCTCTGGAGGACCTGGCCCCCCCTTGCTTCCTGTCCTCTCTAGGAATGCAGCTCAGTTTCCTTTAACCCTTGCAAAGCCGAGTCCACCCTGCTCAGTCCTCTCTGCCTTTTCTCTCCTGCATTGCAGAATCCCAGAGATGCTCATTTTGAGGGGACGCTCTTGGTTGGTCTGTGATCTGCTCCCTCCCTTCGCCAGAAACTGGAGGAAGAGGTTGCAGGGAAAAGGGGGTTGCAGGAAGCAAGGAACCTCATCCTAGAATGGGAGGGAGCCCTAAGGGTCATCTATTCCAACCCCTTGCAAGGCAGGAATCTCAGCCAAAGCATCCAACCTCTGCTTAAAAACCTCCAAGGAAGGAGAGTCCGCCATCTCCCAAGGGATTCTGCTGCTCTTCCCGTCAGAATGTTCTTCCTGCTGTTTAGGCAGCAGAAACTGCTTTCTGGTCCTCTGGGTCCCTTATTCTGGGTGCTCCCCTCTAGGGCAGGAGAAAACAAGCTGGCTCCCTCTTCCATGGGTCAGCCCTCCAGATATTGAGAGGTGGCTCTCAGGTCTCCATCCAGGCAGGTCTCAGCTGAGGGAGGAACAGGAAGACTGCCTCTCCTGGGACTGAAGATAGGAGGCCCCATATCCACCCCAGTAAATATTCCTGTGGGTTTTTAGCTGCCTTTCAGTTCCTTACACCTCCTAGTCCAGAACAACTTGGCCACAATAAGGAAATTTTGCCTATGGTACGACTATTTTCTACTCACCCATCTCGATTCTCTGGCACCCTATCTTCATAACTTAGCAATTCTAAAATACAGATACGCTTTTACTCTCGCAAGATTGAATGTATTTCCTTTGGCTGGACTTGAGGGACAATTCCCGCAGATTCCACACGGAAAATGCTTATGTCCCCATGGAGATGGCAGTACCGAACCGCTGGCGCATGTCCTTTTGGCTTGTGCTTTTTATAAAGAGGAATGAGGTTATCACCCCTCTCTTATTGTTCATTCCGGTTTGCCCAACCACTGTCACAGTGTCCTTTCTCTTGGCAGATCCAGATGAGCAGGTGAGCCAGGGCAATTAGCATAAGATCCACTATTTGACTATTAATTCAAACCCCTAAAATGTATTTTATATAATGGACTTTTTAAATCTCTATTCTTTGTAAATCATATTGTTTTATTGCTATGGCCGATGACTGATGCAAATAAAGATTCATTCATTCATTCATTCCTTACACCTCTGTGCAGATGTGGGCCAGGGCGACCCAGGGCAGAGGGGTCTGTGCAGAGGGCAGGGAGAGCGGCAGGGCTGCTCCTCTTCCACGGGAGGTTACGAACTCTTCTCCTCACTGGCCCCGTTGGCCAACTCTCCCTTATATGCCCCTGCCATTCAGGGGGGGTCTGGACTGCCGCTCTTTTTGCCCTCCTACTTATTGGAACAGGCTGGTTTTCTGTGGGCAGGGAAACTTGACTTCTCATGAAACAGTAGTGGGCCGTAATTCAAGTAAATTAGGCTAGTGGAAAGATTAGCACTCATGCAAAGCACTCGCCCTCCTTCCTCCTGATGCACCATGTGCCAGCCAACCTCTGTTCAGTTCTTAAGGACTCTGTTCTGGTTTTGATCTTTTTTTTTGTGGTGGTTGCTGCTTTTAAAATCAATCAGTGTATAAATTTTATGAACTAAAGTAATAGACAATGTTCATGATGCCTGCTTGACCCCAGTACACATTGCCAAGCTGGGGAATTGTGTTGCAAAATGGAGGGAAGTGCACATTTTGAAGGCTTTGGGTGCATTTGTATTCAAATGCCTGGCTAATCCCCTTGGCCCTGTCCTCCAAACTTAGCTGGGTGGCTGTGCTCCCACCCCACCCCACCCCCACCAAGAAGATGGGATAGGTTAGGGGAAACCCTGCTTTTATGGCCAAGGTCCTGACTCCCCACCCAAATTCTTCCATGCAAACTCAGCTAGATTGGTAAAGAAAAAGCAATTGATAAGCATGGTATGCGCGATAGAATATTGTGGCACCGGAGGGCACTGTGGAGTCCCATTTTTCTCTACCTGTTTTCCCTGTTTGAATTTACAACACCTTTAACTGAAGTGCTTCTTTGATGTGTATAGATCCTCCGTCAACCCCTCTTCTCATCCCTATCTTCTCTCAACCATCCCTTTCTCCCATCTCAAATCCAGCCCCTTCTAAAAATTCCCACAGAAATGGCTCCTTTTATGTTCCCTCCAAATGTGCTGGTTCCACCCCCCTCTGGGTAGCCAATCAGAGCGGCTCTGGCCCTCTGGTGGAACTCTCAGGCACTGCATCCCCAGACTCTGCTGTCCATCAAACCCCCATCTTATATTGGTGCATCTGGTTCTTCCTAAGTGCAAAACTTCACTTTTCTGCCTATTGAAATTCATTTTCTGAGCTTGGGCCCAGTTCTCCAATCTGTTGATGCAGGGGTCAGCAACCTTTTTCAGCCATGGGCTGGTCCACCATCCCTCCGACCATGTGGTGGGCCGGACTATATTTTGAAAAAAATAATGAACAAATTCCTGTGCCCCACAAATAACCCAGAGATGCATTTTAAATAAAAGGACACATTATACTCATGTAAAAACACGCGGATTCCCGAACCGTCCACGGGCCGGATTGAGAAGGCTGTTGGGCTGGATCTGGCACCTAGGCCTTAGGTTGCCTACCCCTGTGTTAATGGCATCTTGAATCCCAATTCTGGCTTTTATGACATTAGCTGCCCCTCCCAGTTTGTCACTGATTGATTGATTGATTGAATTTGTATACCGCTCTATACCCACAAGTTTCAGGGCGGCTACAACATACACACAATATAAAAACACAATATACAGACTTCCGGTTTGCCACGAAGGGGAAGAAACAGCCGGTGACTTTCTTCAGGGAGTGCCATTGCCATGTTTAGAGACTGGGGAGGTTACACAGATGCTTTGTGTCCCTAAACCTCGGGGGAAGCTGGGGAGACTGGAGAGCACCCACTGAACCTAACTTCATTCTCGCCCCCAAAGTGGCAGCTCTGCGCCAGAAGGTCGAGCCATGGCACTGGGTCATATTGCCTCAACGGCAAAAAGTCTTGTAACCCTCCAAAAAGGAGAAAAGCCAAAGAAAAGGTAGAGTGGAAGAAAAGATTGAAGAACCAATTTGGCTAAGTTCTGGAGAGAAAAAGGGAGGCCCTCTCCAGAACTGGGAAAAGAAGCATGTGCAAAAAATCTGGCAGAAAAAGCCAAGGTAAAGCATGACATCTTGCGAAGACATTGAGGAGAGAAAATGGAGAAGGGAGAACAAAATCATTACAATTGTTACAATTTAAAAATTAGAGATAAATACCCACCCTGAACTATATATCCAGTCGAGAGGATGCAAAATTGCCAGGGGGAGAGAAAGCAAGCAGTTACGGATGCTTCTGTGAATCTTTAATTATACAAATAGGGGAAAAACACGAAAAGACGATATGTTCATAGAGGATGAGCTGCCTCACTTAATGGAATTGAAACCTTGCTCCTTCAAAGTATTAGAGTTCAAAGACTGTGATAAAGAGGGAAAAAGAACAATATCGTGGTTCTCAAATGATGGATAACATAGGTTACTACAGGAGAAATAAAATAAAATAATATTCCCCAAGACAACAGTGGGAGAGACACCCAGTGGAGACATTTGGAATAACAAAAAATAATAATTTAATTGGAAAGAAAAACAGTCTAACAGAAAAAACATGGCTGCACAAAAGAAACCACCCACACCAGGACAAACTAAAAGAGGCACCACCTAAGGAGATGTCAATATAGCAGAGATCCTGGTGGAATTAGGAAAAGATTTGCAAAAAAACACCAAAAAGATGGACAAATTAACAACAGAAATCAAAACACTATCCAGGAAAACTAATGGTTTGGAAAAACCAGTCCAAGCTTTGGAGGAGACAGTTCAGAGAAAGAAAGAAGAGAACTGAGAGACAAAAAGGGATCAAGATAGAATGAAAACAGAGCTCGCCACAGTAAGAGAAACACAGGAGGATATAATCAATAATATTGCACTTCTGGGAGTAAAACAAAACAACACAACACTACGTTTGAGAGGCATTCCAGAGTATCAGAATGAACAAATCAGAGTTAAAAAGAACCAGGAAAAGAGATTTCTGATTTTTTTTCATTAATTAAAATGTTTGAAAGGAAAGATTCTTCTTTGCTGTATTGTTTTCATTTAAGCTTTGTTGATGTGGAATATTGTCAGAAAAGGAAATAAATATAATATATACCCAAAATAAATAATAAAAACAAAAAAAATAGAAGATGGAGCAAGCTTGTTCTTTCCTGCACCAAAGGGTAGGACACGAACCAATGGCTTCAAGTGAACAGAACTGTGATTCATACTACACATCAGGAAGAAGTTTATGACAGCAAGAGGTGTTAGTGGAATGAAATCCTTTGGAAGGTGCTGAAATCTCCATCCTTTGAGGTTTTATGAAGTTGGATGGCCATCTGTCATGGATGCTTTAGTTGCGATTCCTGCTTTGCATGGGGTGGATAAGATGACACTAAGGATCACTTCCAACTCCACAATTCTATGATTCTGTGATTCTGTGATTCACAATTCTGTGAGTATTTGTATGAAAAGTGAGCTTTGCCTTCTGACAGAAGCTTTTCCCACATTCCATGCATTGATATGGTTTCTCCCCTGTATGAATTCGTTGATGGGTATTGAGATGGGAGCTCTTACTGAAGCTCTTTCCACATTCCATGCATTGATAGGGTTTCTCCCCTGTATGAATTCTTTTATGAGAAGTGAGATGGGCACTCTGACTAAAGTTCTTTCCACATTCCACACACTGATATGGTTTCTCCCCTCTGTGAATTCTTTGATGGGTATTGAGATGAGAGCTTTTACTGAAGCTCTTTCCACATTCAAAGCAATTATATGCTTTCTCCCCTGTATGAATTCTTTGATGGAAACTGAGATCGGTACTCCGACGGAAGCTCTTTCCACATTCCACGCACTGATAGGGTTTCTCCCCTGTATGAATTCGTTGATGGGTATTGAGATAGGAGATTGTACTGAAGCTTTTTCCGCACTCCATGCACTGATAGGGTTTCTCCCCTGTATGAATTCTTTGATGGGAACTGAGAGAAGAGCTCATACTGAAGCTCTTTCCACATTCCATGCATTGATAAGGTTTCTCTCCTGAATGAATTCTGTGATGGGAAGTGAGATGGGAGCTCCTACTGAAGCTTTTCCCACATTCCACACACTGATATGGTTTCTCCCCTGTATGAATTCTTTGATGAGAAGTGAGAGAGTATCTGCGACTGAAGCTCTTTCCACATTCCTTGCACTGATATGGTTTCTCCCCTGTATGAATTCTCTGATGGGAAGTGAGTTTGGAGCTGTCCCTGAAGCACTTTCCACATTCCACGCACTGATAGGGTTTCTCCCCTGTGTGAATTCTTTGATGGGAAGTCAGGTGGTAGCTATCTGTGAAGCTCTTTCCACATTCCACGCACTGATAGGGTTTCTTACCAATGAGAATTCTTTGCTGGCAAGTGGAATGGGAGCTCTGACTGCAGCTCTTTCCACACACCACATTTTTACGTGACTTCTCCACTCTGCAGATTTTGTCATGGTCATCCTTGATTTCCAATTCTTCAGAATCTGAAATGGAGACGAATAGGGATTAGAGCCTCGGGAAGAAATGGAGCCCGCAATTATGAAATAATGCTAATTAAATTTGTGGTAGAGGAAGAACTGAATCCTGCCACCTATCCAGATTCTTTTATCAGTTGTAATGTTCTTATTAGGCTTTATTTTATGTTCTCTGTTATTATTAGGTCATCCGCAAAGGCTTTTAATTTGTAATATTTTCCCTGTACTACTATACCTTTTATCCTCTCATCTCTTATTTTCCTGTTCAAGATTTCCAATACTAAGATAAACAGCAGTGGGGAAAGAAGGCACCCTTCCCTTGTCCCCTTCATTATGTTACAGCTATCCGTGATGTTGCTGTTTATAAGTTTTGCTCTCTGATTCGAATTGATTGCCTCTATTCCTCTGCAGAAAGTATCTCCAAATCCCATTAAGTTAATTTGTGTTTTCATAAAGCTCCACAAGATATTATCAAATGCCTTTTCTGCATCTACTAACATGAGAACTGCTGGTTTGTCATTTCTGGTTTCTAGGTGTTCCAATATAGTGATAATATTTCTTATATTGCTGTTTAATTATCATCCAGGGAGAAAGCCCACATGGTCTTCATGGATTATTTCTCTCAGGGTCTTTTTTAATCTTTCCACTAAGATGGATGTGAAAAGTTTGTAATCATTGATTAATGAAATTGGTAGGTAGTTTGAAATAAGTGTTAGATCTGTCCCATTTGGGAATTAGTGTTATAAATGCTTCCTTCCATGTCTCTGGTGTTTTCCCTTTGGCTGGTATATTACATGTTTTAAAGGTTGTGATAGGACTTCTTCCAGCTACTTATAATAGCAGGCTGACAATCCATCTGGACTGGGCAACTTCCCTGATTTCGCATTTGTATTGTTGGATTTCTATGGCTGTAATTGGTGTTTGATTTTTCCCCACTCAGAATTACTGGCAGGTTATTATGTTTTAAAAATTATTCATCCCCCCCCCCCCCCAGTTTTCCGTTGCTTTTTGGTATAATTCTCTGTATTAACTTACAAAATTTTACATATTTCATTTGATTCATCTATTATTTTGTTTCCCAGTTTCAGTTTGTTTATAATCCTATCACTCTGCCTTTTCTTGAGTTGCCAAGCCAGTAGTTTTCCTGGTCTGTTGGCAAACTCGAAATTTCTATGTTTTAATATTTTAATATTCCATTCCACTTCTTGATTTATTAGCGTAGCAAATTTGGTTTGTAGCAGTTTGATATTTTGTTTGATTATTTTGTTGCCTGGGTTTTTTAATACCTCTTTTTCCTTTTAGCTTAGCTCCACCAATATTTCTGTTTCTTTTCTTTTATTCCTTTTTGGATCACATTTTGTTATGTCATGTTTTTATATGTATTGGAAGCCACCCAGAGTGGCTGGGGAAACCCAGCCAGATGGGCAGGGTATAAATAAATATTAATATTATTATTATTATTATTATTATTATTACTATTACTAGTATCACTGCTACTAATACCTGAGATTCTCCAATGTCAGTTGTCTCTTTGGTCAACCCAAGACTGACAGCAGCAAAAACAAAAACAGAAAACCTGACAGAAGCTACTTATCTTTCCTAACAACTCTGAAGCTGACATTTAAGATGCCTGGGCAGTTCAAATCAGCCCAATTGTGGTAGAGGGAGGCAGAACTGGAGGAAGACTCACAGAAAACTAAGTAATTTACTGTTCAAGGTTTATTGTGGGGGTGTAAGGTTTCCAGGTGTTGTAGGGGGCGCTGTTGAGCTCTGTGGAAATCACATAGAGGGTTTTTTAATTTCCAGGCAGATAGGACGATCCCACAGGGAGCCTTACCAAGAGAGGCCACGATCCCACGATTCTCCTCCATGACGTCCTTATGCAGAGCTCTCTGGTCAGGATCCAGCAACGCCCACTCCTCGTCCGTGAAACAAACAGTGACATCTTCAAAGCACACTGGACCCTAAAAGAAAAAGGGAAATGTCCTCGTCTGAGACAGCAGAAATATAATCTGCTACACAATGCTCTGTTCTTTCCTTAATCACTGCATTGTTTCAATAGGATTGCTTTGCTGCACATTTTTATTATGGATGTCTATTTTGACGTTTTAATTGAATTATTATAGTCAGCTTTTAATTATGGGTATTCATCTTTGTGCAAATAGGTGGTACTCCAGCTTATGTTTATGTTATTCTGCCTATGCAAGCATTCCAGTTTCCCCGATGGAAGGATCCACTTTCTCCTCTCCTCATGAGTTGTTCTGGGGAGGTTCCCTCCCAATGCCCTAGAGCCAAATTCAGGGGTTCATGGGGGCATGGAGAGGGGGAGGAATGGGGGGCAGGCCCTATTTTGCAGCGGATGGGGCTGGCTAGGTGAATCCTGGAAATTATTTGTTATCGTCTGTCTGCTGCTTAGAAGCCTATTTTAGCATTCAATGATGAATACAGAAATACAATAAGCCTAGTTTGGATGGCCATCTGTCTTGGATGATCTAGCTGAGACTCCTGCAGTGCAGGGGGTGGGACTTGATGAACCTTGGGGTCCCTTTCAACTCTAGGATTCCATGAAAACTGCAACTACAGATGAATCCTGCTGGCGACATTCAGAAGGCTGGTGTCACAGAGTTATCTGGGCAGGAAATCCGACACATCACAGCTGGAGTTTACTCTTTATCAGCAAGAACACGATATTCACAGACTTGGCTGAGCTTCAGGCCTAATGAGAAGAGCAGCTCATTCCCGGAGGGTCTGTCAGTTTGCACTGTCAATCGATTAATGGACTAGTTGTCTAGGTGTTTCTTTAGTGTGGAGCTATATGAAAAGTGAGATTATATAGTGCAAAGTTTGAAGACAGTGAAGGCCCTTGGCTCCCCACAACTTTCTAAGTCCCCTTCTCTCTGGGGTTTCTAGCAGACAACCAAACAGTGCACCTGTGGGCAGCCTGCCTTTGCTCCTCCATTGTCAGACATTTCCTGGTTCTGAGAGACGAGCAGGGAGAGTGGCTTCTGGCAGAAGGAGAGGGAGCCCCCGGTGGTGGCTCCTCCTTCTCCTGACTCACCTCAGCCTCTCAACCTCCCTCCTCCCACTCGCCTCCTTCCTCTTCTGCCTCTGATTCTTCACTGCATTCTGCCACAGTCTCCCAGCTCACTAAGTCCTGTTAGCCCTTCAGCTTCTGACACCTCCTCTTCCCAAGCTTCTCCCTCTTCTCCCTCTGACCGCCCATCCTTCCTCTACCTTCACTCCTTGGGCTCTGAGACATCTTCCCTTCCTGGTTCCCCGGCTGCTTCCTCCCACCATTCCTCTGTGCCCGACCAGTCCATGACATTGCTCCATCCCTCAGCCTCTGTTCCCACAAGGCAGCTTCCCCTGACCTGATTTGGTTCCACAGCCGCTGCTCCCCTTCTGCCCCCATGAAAAGGCAGATCAGGAGGTCTTGCCGGCATCATTCTGTCACCTGCAAGAGAAAAAAGGTAAGCAGGACGCCAGGAATGCCCACGTCTCTCACAGGTGAAGCAGCGCATCTCTATCTACAGATAGGCCTTTGAGAAAGCCTTACTTGCTGAGAGCATTTGGACGTTTGTGTTGGCTATTTGCAGTATGGTAGCGCTGCAGAGCGCTTGCTGGGGAGACCATGCATTAAAAAGGGACTCAAAAATAACTTAAACAAGGTTTTAATAAGAAAAACAAAAACTCCATTTACACTAAATACATCAACAAACCAGACCCAACCACCAACCCATCCCCCAGGGTAATGGGAGAGTTAGGTGCTGCTCCTTATATACTACACCCAATTGCCAACACAGCTTAATCAATATAACTCAGCAGCACCTGCTATGTTTCACAGCTGTAAAGCTGGGTCTCGTTATTTTGCTCTGGCCCCTTAAAGACATACACATCGGGTGGAACAATGATGAACCTTTACATTTAAAGAAACCATTCAACATTTCCCCTGTGGTTCATCATTGTGGAACAAAAACATAAAGCATATTTTGTACGTCTTTCATGTGTAACCTTTGGAAGTGCTTTAGTAAAAATGTCTGCAATTTGATTGTCACCTGGAACATATTGAAATACAATCATTTCGTTAGCAATTAGTTTCTTTACAAATTGTAAGTGTAATCTTAAGACTCTAGTGCGCTGCGTATTGGTCTCTGAACACAGGATAGCGAGTCCGCTCTGGGAATCAAGGTAAACTTTTACTGGTAGTGTTACTTGCATCTGTAGGTCTGCAAATACTTGCAGATACCATTCTACATCACGAGTGGCCTGAACACATGCACATAATTCACTCTCTGTTGTGGAGAGACAAATAATGGTTTGTGTCTGGGACTTCCATTCAAATGGACAACCGTTATAACAAAACACCATACCAGACACACCCCTGCAATTATTTTGTTCCACTGCATGAGATGCATCACAGAAAATTTCAAAACCTTTGTCAATACTTGATGTAAACTGCAACCTATAATGTTTGGTATGTTTAAGGTACATTACCACTCTCTTAAGAGCAGAGAAACATTGCGTAGTGGGCTTTTCCACAAATTTTGCCAGAAAGTGAAAAGCATAAGTTATATCTGGTCTTGAGATTCTCTGAATGAAATTTAGCTTGCCTATAGCAGAACGATTCAAAGTTTTATTAGGAAATGGCTTATCTTCACCTGTAAAGGTGAAACCACACACCATAGGTGTTTCCTTCTCATTTGCATTTTCTAAACATAGCATTTCAACAAGATCATCAATTTTTGCAGTTTGATCAACCAGAAAAGATTCATTTTTGCCTTTTTCAATTTGCATGGATAAGTAATTTTTAGCTATGCCTAATTCCACCACATCAATTTTCTTCTGTAACTGTGAAACTACCTCTTCATATTCCTGTTTAGTTTTTGTAGAAATTAACACGTCGTCTACATAGACACACATTTTTGTTACAGAGTTTGCCCTTTCCTTTATAAACACACAATTGTCTGCCTTTCCTTGTGAAAAACCAATATCCAGCAATTCTTTTGCTAAAGTTTGGTGCCAATTCCTTCCACTTTGGTGCAGACCATAAAGGGATTTATTTAATTTGCATACCAAACCTTCAGCGACGTCTATGCCTTCAGGAACACGCATAAAAATTTGTTCTTTTAAATCTGCAAACAAATATGCAGTTTTTATATCTAGGTGATAAACAGAATGTCCACGTTGTGATCCATCTTTTAACAAAAGTTTAACTGTTTCATATTTTACACTTGGTGAATAACACAAATCATAATCTTAGCCTGGAATTTGTTGAAAACCCCTAGCAACTAATCTAGCCTTGTACCTTACAACTTCATTTTTGTCATTCATTTTAACTCTATAAACCCATTTTGAATCAATAAGTCTCATATCTGGGGTTTGTGGTACAAGAGACCAAGTGTTATGCTCTTTTAAAGAAGCTATTTCAGAGTTCATAGCTTTATACCAATTTGCAGCTTGATGCTCAGGTAAATTCTGAACATCATTGTAGCTTTTGGGCTCAGAAACCACCTTATTGGCATATACAGTATTAAAATGTTCATCTGCAAAACGTTGTGGCTTCTGCCTCTTTCTATCTGAACGTCTCAGTCTGGAAGGAGAGTCAGACTCCTCAGACTTAATAGGACTAAGTGAACTACTAGTTTCTGGTTATGAATCATCATTGTCAGACTGAAGAGATGCCTGTAGGCTAAGCTCACGGTCAGAAAGCTCAAGAGAATCTAACTTCCCCTCGGGTGCCTGTGACTTTAAATCATCAAACAAATTATCAGATTCAACAGGCTTTTCGTCTTTTTCCATTAATTCAGAAGCACCATTTCCTGCTGCTGCTGCTGCTGCTGCTTCCTCTTCTTCCTCAGTATCATTTATACCGTTAGTATCTTGGAAAACAGCAACACCATTCCAATTTACAGTTTGTATCATGCTTCTGGTAATATTAAATTTGCCAGTTGCTGGTATGTAAATTCTGTATGCCCCCTGCTGGTAGCACATTAATTTTCCCTGAACACTACGCTCACCCAATTTCTGCTTAGCGGGATAATGCATAATTACATCTGAACCCCAAATGCGTAGGTATTTCAGATTAGGGCGTTTTTTAAACAACTTCTCATAGGGGGTGACATCTAAACCAGAATGATAACTGCGATTTCTAACATAACAAAAGGCATGGAGCGCTTCAGCCCAAAAATCTTTGGGCAGATTAGCATCGTGCAGGTAAGTTTTAACCCCTGCCTGCAGGTCACACTGCACAACTTCAACAAGCCCATTTTGCCAGGGACTTCGGGGGCAAGATAACTCATGAGTAGTTCCCTGCGCTTCCAGGAATTTCTCAAAATCCTCAGAAACAAATTCCCCACCCCGGTCAGAAAACAGGTTCTTAATTGGTTTGTTAAAGTATGTTTTTACCCAGTTGCAAAAAGCTTTGTACTTCTCAAATGCTTGGGTTTCTCAGCTATTGCATAAGTCCAACAATATCTACTATACTGGTCTATCAGGGTAAGCCAGTACTTAGAACCTCCTAATGATGGTGGGAGTGGCCCAACTAAATCACAATGTACACGCTCAAATGGCTCAGTTACTTTCCTATCTGAGCACCTACCCTTGCGTGCAACCTTAATCTTATTCTTGCAACAAGATAGACATTGCATAAAGAATTTACATGGTTTTAAGTTGAGGCCATTAACAATATTCTTTGTCTTAATTACATCAGCAAAATTCAGGTGTCCTAAAAGTCTGTGCACCTCATGGACACACCCAGAATGTGGCCTTACATTCCTCAACCCCTGGCTTGACTGTGCTGCTCTGCAATTTATAGGTGATTGGGAGTAGGTGCGAAAATACAGTCTATATAATCCATCAGAGTCCCGGGCATATAATAGACGTTTGTTCCCATCGAAAAACTCACACATTGACTTTAAGAAACGCACAGTTATTCCTTGACGAGCAAAACATCTTACTGACAATAAATTGTCCACTGACGGGCAGTAAATGCAGTTCGCTATTGTAATGTTTAAAGAGTCAAGTTTAACAGTACCCCTGCCAAGCGACTGCAAGACTTGTGAATTGGCTAAATGTACATTACCAATTTCCTCTTCGAAAGAAATAAATAAACTTTGATCATTGCAAATGTTCTGAGATGCTCCTGAGTCCACAATAAAAGAATTCCACTTGGCACCTTTAATTCTTTTACGATCTCTTGTGCTAGTGTGAAAAGCTCGCGGCTCGTTTCTGTCTTTACGGTACGATGTCGGCTGCTGAGCTGACGACCGTGACTGACGAACAGAAACAGGCTTGGGAGTACTTTGCTTTCTTTTGGATCTGCAGTCCTTTGCAAAATGTCCTTGCTTATTGCAGAACCAACAGCGCTTTGCAGCTTTAAATGCAGTTGTATCACCACAAGTTTGCATATGGTGTTCCTCATTATTTCTGGAAATAGGAGTGCTTATGACACAAGCCTCCCTTCTATCCAACTCGCCCATTAATCTTGCCGTTACCCCTTCCACAGTTAATTGTGCTGGTGGAACGGCAGATATTTGGCTAGCTATACCATCAAAGTCCTCGTTAAGGGAACAAAGAATGATAAAAACATACTGAATATCAGGTATCTCCATGTCCCTTCGAATTAATTCGCAGTGTATTGCCTCCAGACGTCTCAAGTGTGCTGCCAAATCACCACCAACTTCGTCTGGTACAACTGCTTGAAAAACGTCAATGCAGACGCCGACTCTTTTCTAATGTGCACTGCTGCAAGGCTGTCCCACATTTCTTTGGCAGTTTTCTTATTCCTTATATAAACTACTTGCTGGTCGCTGACTGCCAAATTAATTATCGCCCTGGCTTTTGCATCTCCTTTTGACCAAGCATTAGTTACAGGGTTAGGAGGGTCATCAGTTACATAGGTCCATACTTCTCTAGAGGTCAAAAGCGCCTCCACCCGAAAAGACCATAAACTATAGTTCTCATCTGTCAGCTGTGGGAAGACCAGAGCCTTCTCAGCTTCTGGAACCCGGTCAACCATTCTGGAACTCTTCCAGACCCACAGAACTACGCCAACAGGAGAAGGAGTTTTCAAACCTTTCTCAGAGTCCAAAAATATGCAGTCATCCACTCAGCAGCTGGGCCCATAACCAAAGATGTTGGCTATTTGCAGTATGGTAGCGCTGACACAGCTTAATCAATTGCTTAATCAATCACAATTGCTGACACAGCTTAATCAATACAACTCAGCAGCACCTGCTATGTTTCACAGCTGTAAAGCTGGGTCTCGTTATCTTGCTCTGGCCCCTTAAAGACATACACATCAGGTAGAACAATGATGAACCTTTACATTTAAAGAAACCATTCAACAGTTTGTGCCCATTTCATATGTTAGTTGTATAAAAATACACCTCCTCTCCTCTGGACCCTTGACCCCAACAGTCCCCTCCCCACAAAAAAGATGAAAAGAACCCACAGATTAGTTGGAAAACCAACAGAATGAGACAAAACAGAGAAAAGCCACCTTCCTCCTTACCCAGTGGCCTCTCTCTGGTGTCCAACGGAGGCCTCTCTGCCTCACAGGAATCCAGGTCCATTTCTGCAAAGAGATCCTTTCCCTGAAAAAGAAACAAGGACTCAAAACAGAGAATGGTGAGAAATATAAGAAAAAGTATGACAAAGACAAAAACATTCAGGGTGTTAGATCTCATTCCATGGATGCCTTCCCAGAAAACGGATGGGCCAACAGTAGAGCATTATGGAGCCCCTTGGGAGTATCCAGAGAAAAGTCTCTCTCACCTGCTTTCTCTCTGCCTGCTTTCTCTCCTCTGCCTGACTCAGGAGGAAACCTTCGGCCAGGGCCACCGCCTGGGAACTGCTCTCCGCTCCACAGTCCCTCACCCAGCTCTCCATCTCCGGTGGAAGGACAGCCAGGAACTGCTCCAAGATCACCAAGTCCAGCATCTCAGCTTTCGTGTGCCTTTCTGGCTTCAGCCATTGGTGGCAAAAGTGGTAGAGTCGGCTGCAAACCTCTCGGGGTCCTTCGGCCTCCTGGCAGCAGAACTGCCTCAACTGCTGGCTCTGCACCTCTGAGCGGAGGGTGTCCTCCTCACCCAGGATCTTCTGCACTGGGTTTTCCCAGAATCCCCCACTGCTCCCAGTTTGGCTTGCATGGCCTCTTCCTGCTCCAGGGCCAGCTGAGTCTTGCTCATCCATCTGTGCTCTCAGGAAGCCTCTAAGAGATTGGAAGGAACCCTTTGGTCTTCTACCAAGTTCTGCCTGTGCTAATGAGGTGCTAGCAAATCCTACAAAGCAAATACATTGTTTAGTTACAGAATTTTTAGGTCATAAGAAGAGAAATGTTCCTTGAGCAAGCACGGATGAGTCTTCCTAGGAACCAGGGTGGGACTGTACCAAACCATGAGATATCTTCTGAAGAAGAAGACGGAGGAGGAGGAGGAGGAGAGAAGAGGAAGAAGAAGGAGAAGGAGAAGAGGAGGAGGAGGAGGAAGCAGACTCTAGCCCCGCTAGAAGGAAGATTGTGATGCAAAACGTGGAGGCAACTGAAGGGATTTCTCTGAGGTAAATGCAAGAAGTCAGGACTGACTGACAAGGGAATAATTTGTATCTTGTGGAAAATGGATGCCTGGCTCTAGTGGGGGTCCTCACCTGGGGGTCCTCAGGAGTTGCTGCCCCCCCACCCCCACTCCCCTGCTTCTGTCTCCTTTTTTGCACTTGGACTCTCTGCTGCTCTCCAGAAAGACTCCTGGGGTGGGGTCCCTTTTTCTTTGCTCTGAGGGCCACGTATGTATCTCGCCAACCGCTGAGGGCCAAGTGGATGAGGCGAAAGACATCTCCCTTGAAATTTAGGTGGCCAATTTATTATTATTATTCTCTTAGATGGCTTAACATACGCACAGCCATTGACGCCAAGGTCCCTGGAGGCTCAGTGAGTAGCAGCACCCATTTCCAGCAACAATCCCTTTGGGAGAGAGAGGATGTGGTCCTGGGATGCCCTGCTCTGGGTGCGAGGGGATTGCTGCAGTGGCCTCTGTGGGGAGCTGCCCTGGGAGACGACTGGGAAACTTGTTTGCAATGCAGCAGCCAGACCTCCCTTCTTTTCTCCCCGTGATTTTCGTTGGGGGGGTCTAGTCCACCTCCTCGTCCAGCTTTGGAAAACCATTTGCAGATGTTACCTCTCTTGTGCAGTGACGCTTAGCGACGTCACACCGAGTTAAAGTCCCAGGGACTCCTTTGTTTAAAGAAGGAGATTTCGGGGGAGTCGGTTTTTCTGAAGGGGGGGCGGAGGGCCAAATGAGTTTGGGATCCTCTGATCTGCAGGAAGGAGAGCGTGGCAGACCTGGCCCTTCCCTGGCAGGACCCTCTCCTCCCTTACTTGGGGTCCCCCCCTGCAGGAGCAGATCAGGCCCCCCAGGCCCCCTCCCCTGCTGCAGCCCTGGGACCCCCACCAGATCCCAGAGAGAGAGGAGACTCACCAGATCCCAGGAGGGACAGCGAGGCAGCCCTTGCAGGAGAGACACAAAGCAGGAAAGGACTGGGGGGGGGGGCTTGGCTCTGGAGGACCTGCCCCCCCTTGCTTCCTGTCCGCTCTAGGAAGGCAGCTCGGTTCCTTTAACCCTTGCAGTGCCGAGTCCCCCTAGCTCAGCCCTCTCTCGCTTTGCAGAATCTCAGCTTTTTGTTATTTTTTATGGATTTAGGGGGGCAGCTGCCCCCCTGGCTACGCCAATGCCCAGATATCCTTTTGGGGGTGAGGCTCTTGGCTGGGCTCTGAGCATCTCCCTCCCTTGGTCAGAAAGTGGAGGAGCAGCTTGCAGGGAAAAGGGCTTTGCAGGAGGCAAGGAAGCTCCTCCTAGAACTCAGGAGTGGAGAGATAGGAGGGGATCCCAGGGTCATCTAGTCCAACCCCCAGCAATGCAGGGATCTCAGCTAAAGCATCCATGGCAGATGGCCCTCCGATCTCTGCTTAGAAACCTCCCAAGGGAGACCTTTCTCCTGCCAAACTGCTCTTAGATGTCCCTCAAGGCAGCTGTCCTGAGTTCTCCCACTGCTGAAATAATGGCGCTGGCTACCAAGGAGGAACCAAGCAAAGTTCAAAATAAATAAATCATATTTTCATAATGAATGAGTAATACGTTTTAATGCATGCCTTTTATGCTTATACACAAACGTATGCCATTTCCCCTCCCAGAAATGCTTAATTGCTCATTCAAGGGACTAACAACGGATGGTGGTGGTTGTTAATATTTATTAACTTGACATACCGCCCTTCATCAAGAGGTCTCAGGGACGTTTAAAACACAGTACATCACACTTATACCGAAATCAGAGACTGAAAAGACGCAGCTTAAGAACTACCGTCCCATATCACTGCTTAATGTGGATTATGAAATTTTTGCAGATATTTTGGCTAGAAGATTGAAAAAGGTGTTAGCAGAAGAAATTCATAAAGACCAAGCGGGCTTTCTCCCGGGCAGACATTTGTCTGATAATACGAAGAATATAATTAATATTTTAGAAAAACTACAAGTGAACATTAATACTAAAGCAGTTCTGATATTTGTGGACGCGGAGAAGGCCTTCGACAATATTTCTTGGAGTTTTATGAAGAAGAATCTACAGGGGATGGGGGTAGGTCAAGGTTTTGGAAATGGTATAGGTGCAATTTATTCAGAACAAAAGGCTAAATTAATTGTGAATAATGTAGTGACAGAAGAATTTAAGATTGAGAAAGGAACATGACAAGTTTGCCCAATCTCTCCATTGCTTTTTATATCGGTCCTGGAGGTTCTGTTAAATATGATTAGAAGGGACCAATTGGTTAAAGGTATACAAGTGGGAACTAAACAGTACAAACTGAAAGCATTTGCTGATGATTTGGTATTGACTTTACAGGAGCCAGAATCTAGTACTAAAAGAGTACTGGAACTGATTCAAGAATTTGGTCAGGTAGCAGGCTTTAAGTTGAACAAGATAAAAACTAAGGTTTTAGAGAAAAACCTAACTGGGATAGAGAGAGATAAGTTTCAGAAGGAGACAGGATTAACATTGGTTAAGAAAGTGAAATATTTAGGGGTTAACATGACTGCTAAGAACGTGAATTCCTTGTATAACTGTGCAGCAAAGGATGGCAAGGCAAATGGTTAGGAAGGCAAACACTGCCAGATGCAGCTCGTGTGCAGCACCTCTAGGTGGAGCATGCGGAAAGGTTTCAATGCTTCACCCACAAAATGTTGACAAAGTGTAGGGGAGTTCCGCATGCCTTGAGGCAGGACAACCCGCTGATATCGCTGGGTGGGCTGCGAATTGTTATATACTGGCAATGTAAAAGCAAACCGTTCCCAGTCTGCTGGAGCCAGTGGGATGAAGATGGTTCAATGTGGCCGAAAGTCAATTGTTCAGAAATAAGCTGTTCAGAAATAGCTAGTGCCGCTGCTGCTGATTTTTCTTTTGGTAGAGGCCACTATTCTACCCAAACTGGGGTATCGGTGATCCTGGTTTGCCACACTGGAAACAAGTTGTATCAGTGGCTACAGGCTGGTTTTCATTTAGCGCTGCTGCTAAATGTCTACCTTCTGGTGCCCCCGACTCTGAACCCCATCATCTATGGAGTGAGGACAAAGCAGATCCGCGAGCGGGTGCTGCGGGGGCTCCACCTTCAGAAGAGTGTCTGATGACCCTGTCCCCAGCCAGGCCCCCTGGACGTCCAGCTGCTGCAAACAGGGTGCCTTTGACTGCTGACAACTCTGTGAGCTATTTGCATAATTATTTGTAAGACAAGGGAAGCATTGCAGGGAGAGTGAGGTGTGGACTATGTCTGAATCACAAGGTTCCCTGTAGCCATTGTTCATGGCCACTATAACGATCTCTGGCAGGCAAGCAGCCTGATAAGCAGCACAGACTCTCCATCAGTTTTATGTAAGTTTATTTACAAGAAAAAAACACATCCAGAGGATGGTGTCCTGCCAGCTCTCATTAACAGTAGTTGCTCAGTCTGACTCACCATCCCTCCCCCAACAGGAAGGCGGCCAAAATCCCGCCTTTATTCTCCTTCCCTTCCTTTGCTCTCTGAGCTTCGCCAGTCTCCTCGTTTGGGAACTCAATGGCCGGCCTGTCTCTTCCCCAGAAAACACAGCCTCAGACTCTGGCTTATCTGATGGTCGCCTGGCAACACTTTGGCCGACTTCCAACTCTTCCTCTCCTTGGGAGCAAACAGCTTCTTCCCTGGGAAGGAGGGGACCGGCCTGTCCTCTCTAAACTCAGACAGACGGCTCTCATCTGCAGAGTCGGCCCCTTGCTCGCTCAGCTCAGTTTCTGAGGCTGACTCTTCCACTGTGCTCTGGGGGGCCACATTCCCGACAGACACCAATAGCCCTCTCCTCTCCACAAATTTGCCCAATCCCCTAAGTTAATGGACACTGGCAAATCCTGTGGCAGCAAATGCCCCCAATAACTTGTGATGTGGCATGTGAAGAAGAAGCTGTAGAGATGAGTGCATCTGTCCGGTCTCTCTTAGCGGGCAGCCTTGTGGCATCTAGTGGGCCACTGGGTGGTCAACACCAGCAGGGGGGCTTCTTACATTCAGCTTCTCTGAGAGCTTTTTGCTTCCACTGATTTGGCTTCCAGATGGGAGCTCAAAGGAAATAATACTTTGTGGCCAGCCCCTCTGGGTGCAGTTGCTGTGATCACCACCAGGAGCTAGACCTGGGTTCAAATCCCAGCTCAGGCTTAAGAGACAGCCATTCCTTGAGGCAGGGAGCCCAGGACTTGCGTCTTCTCACTTCCTGCAGACTTCCTGCTTCTGTGTGTTGTTTGCACCCCAAGGAAGGAGGCTGTGCTCCTGGCCATCCTCACAGAGGGCAGATTCCACCAGGCAGTGGATCTGCTCCTAGCCACACTTCCTCTGTGATAGACATGGGTCTTTCTGGCTCCACCATCCCTCAGATCTTCTGGCCACCTGGGCTTGCTGATCAACGGGGAGCAGGCACCCTGAACACATAACTCAAGTTCCGGCCCGCATGCTCTGGCTGCCCATTTGTTTCCATCGTGAATATGTCACAGGTCAACAAATACCTCCATCGTGGACCTCTGGTTTCTGGGACTTAGAGTGGGGGGGGGAGGGCCAACTTGGGGCAGGGAAGAGCAGCACTGGTGCAAATGTATCCCACCAATTACTGCCCACTACAGTGGATGGGGTGAAAGAGGAGAGCGCAAAATATGGTCTGAAGCTCAGCATCAAATAAACCCTGGCAAACAGAAGGGGAAGAAATGGAGGCAGTGAGAGATTTTACTTTCTTGGGCTCCATGATCACTGCAGATGGTGACAGCAGTCACAAAATTAAAAGACGCCTGCTTCTTGGGAGAAAAGCAACAACAAACTTAGACAGCATCTTAAAAAGCAGAGACATCACCTTGCCAACAAAGATCCGTATAGTTCAAGCTCTGGTTTTCCCAGTAGTGATGTATGGAAGTGAGACCTGGACCATCAAGAAGGCTGATCGCCGAAGAATTGATGCTTTTGAATTCTGGTGCTGGAGGAGACTCTTGAGAGTCCCATGGACTGCAAGAAGATCAAACGTATCCATTCTGAAGGAAATCAGTCCTGAGTGCTCACTGGAAGGACAGATCCTGAAGCTGAGGCTCCAATACTTTGGCCACCTCATGAGAAGAGAAGACTCCCTGGAAAAGACCCTGATGTTGGGAAAGATGGAGGGCACAAGGAGAAGGGGACGACAGAGGACGAGATGGTGAGACAGTGTTCTCGAAGCTACCAGCATGAGTTTGACCAAACTGTGGGAGGCAGTGGAAGACAGGAGTGCCTGGCGTGCTCTGGTCCAGGGGGTCAGGAAGAGGCGGACAGGACTAAACGACTAAACAACAACAGAGTGGATGGGAAACATCAAGACAGATTAGATGAGAGGCTTCGCATGGAGAGTGCCTGTGTTTGAGCAAAGGCTCTCAAATGTGCACATAGAAGCAGCAATTCACAGGCACAGGATTCGTCCCCAAAGTGGGCACAGCCATGCAGAACTGGCAAGACCAGCCAGCAAAGGAATCTACAGGCTGCCATGAACAGTTCCATGGAAAGCTTATTTGTTTTATTTCACTTTATTTATTAAATTTGTAAACTTTCATGTTGTGAACTGCCCTGAGATCTATGGGTATAAAATGGTATACAAACAAAACGAATAAGTACGCTGCCCCTTATCCAAAGATGTCAGGGCAGCTGAGGGCAGCAATGCTGCTGAATCACAGTTGCTCACGTGCATGGATCCTGCTCACAGGTTTCCCACAATGGGCAGGTGTTTGGCCACAGTCAGAACAGGGTGCAGGATTACATTTTTCTGTTGTTTATTTCTGTAGATCAGTGAAGTAGGCATAATTTGATGTAAAATATACTCCTTAATGAACTGAAAGGCATGGCTAAGTATTCTGACCTCTCAATACCTAAAGTAAAGACCATCACACTCTTCCTGGGTTACCAGAAAAGTTTAATTATCACCTCCTGTAAGAGAGAAGTGGGTTCCGCACACAGACAGTAGAATCTTTTTCCCAAGGTAAAGTCATGATTCAGGAAACTTACAGAGAACCAGTTAGTCGTTTCTCACAAGGTCCATGTCCTCTCAAATTGGGCAAGGCAAACAGAAGACCAAGTGGACAGGAACTTGCTGGAAACAAGTAATGGTGCAAAGGAATACAGGTGTTATGGTGCTCACTCATCCAGGAAGGCCTCAGAGGATACATTGGTTCAAATAAGTATTTGTATCCCAAGGCTCCCTATGGTCAGCAGTTCACAAGCTCCAACAGGATTGCCTCTTTGCTCCTCAAGGATCAGCCCTAGGCCTCACCTAGACATGGACAAAAGGAAGTGGGGCTGCTGCTGTTGCTGTTGCATTTATTTATATCCATGCTGTCCCCAGATAGGGACTCAAGGCAGCTTACAAATAAAACAGAAACAGCTAGCAAGATAGGAGAAAAACACAACCATTAAAAAGCAATTAAGCACTAATTAGAATTTAATATTAATAATAATAATAATAATAATAATAATAATAATATCCCGCCCTCCCCAGCCAAAGCTGGGCTCAGAGCGGCTAACAACAATAAATGCTCAGCTATTAAAGCCTGCAGATAAATCACCACAGCACCAGCCCTTTCCTTCAAAACAGTCCCTTCCCAAAGTCTGTTGGAACTGGAAGGTCGTTACCTGCTGATGTAAGGACAACAAAGAAGGAGCCAGTCTAGCTTCTCTTGGGAGGAAGTTCCAAAGCTGTCTGAGAGCAGCCACCACCAAGAAGACCCTTTCCTACGTCCCCACTAAACATCCCTGCGAGGGCAGTGGGACTGAGAGAAGGGCCCTCCCCAAAGGTCTCAGACCCTGGGCAGCTTCCTGCGAGGGAATGTAGCCTTTCAGATAAAAAGGTAAAGGGTGTGGCGCACATCCTGGGGGCATGGTGAGCTGCCCGTGGGGCGTGGCGTGCATCCCAGGGGTGTGGCATGCCACCCACAGGGGCGGGGCACCCGGCGCGGTGGGGGTGTGTGGTGCGTGTCGGGGGCAGCTGCGATGGTACCCCCCCGATGGTGTTGGGGGCGGTCCGCTCCCTTCGCCCCCCCTTCCTCTGCCAGTGGCTTGTGGGGGGTCTTGCATGAGGGAAAACATAGTGATGTAGAATCTCAGACAGGAGTTCATCCAACGAGAAAAGTTTTAGTAACAAAAATAAGTTTGTGAGACAAACTTTGGTCAGGAGATGGATTCTGTCAAGTAAAAGTCAACTTATTACTGAAACATGTCATTACAATCACAGCTTCTCTTAAACATCAGTTGCTAAAAACCAGGTGTTAGACTTCAGGTTTCCAGAATAGGTGGTAAACGGCTCAACTCCGTTTCTGTCACTTTACTCTCGTTCCTTAGTTATCACAGTGAAAAACATTTGACATAGTACAGCTTCCTTCACGGCTTAATACTTTGGTTTGTGAATGAGGGGCCACTTTTCCTCATTCCCCCCCCTACCCCCCAATTATTTTTATTCATTTTCCAAATTATTACAAATCAAACCAAATTAAATTAATACAATTCCTTAAAATCAGGTTTCCTGCTGAAACAGCACAGCTTCCTTCACGGCTTAATATTTTGGAGACCCAAGAGGAAGAGCGTCTTCCCACATCTTCTCTCTCCAGCTTAATTCCCATCTGAATACTCCCTCCAGACCCTCAACATGGTCTCCCTATCTAAGCTGTGAGGTTCCTTCCTCTGGCTCCATAGATATTCTCCCCCGATAGGATGTTCCTCTCAGATCAGGGCTTTGCACCAGATGAGCCTTGGGGTCCCTTCCAACTCTGCAATCCTCCTGCTCCTCCTTTGGGCATGGTGGTGCTGAGGAGCATCTCTCCTGGGACCTTGTGCCAGGGAGCCCTGACCCTCCTGCACCTGTGAAATCTGCCTGCTTCTGCAGCTTCCTTCTGAGGCGACTCCTTCCCTCAGGCCAGTGACATCGATCCCCTGAGTGATCCCTGATCCCTCACACAACTCTCTCACGCGAGGGAGTTCCAGTGGAGAGCAGCTGGCAGAGTCTGGGAGGAGGGCATCCTTGGAGATGCCAGTGCAGAGGGCACATGGGCACTTAAAGTCACCTCAGCATCAACATCATCGGGCAGCCTGACCAAGGCTGAGACACTGAGCAGGAGCCGCAGAACTGGCTGGGATGTGGAGGTGGCCTATGGGCAGCAGGTAAGCCTGGGAGGGAGGCTGGAAGGGCCGGGGCAGGCTCACGTCTCAGAGAAAGAGGCCAATGAAGAACAGAATCACAGAATGGGAGAACTGGAGGGGATCCCCCAGGGTCATCTAGCCCAGCCCCTGCCATGCAGCGATCGCAGCTAAACGCTCCCTGGCAGGTGGCCACCCATCTTCCCTTTAAAGGCCTCCAAGGAAGGAAAGCCCACCCACTTCTGAGAAAGTCTGTTCCACCACCCAACAGCTCCTGTCTTCAGAAAGTGATGTGTAATGTTCAGTCAGAATCTCCTTTCTGGTAGATAGAAGCCATCAGTTTGAGTCCTCCCCTCTGGAGAAGCAGAAGACAAGCTTGCTCCATCTTCCAGGGCTCTTCAGATACTTGAAGACAGCTCTCGGGTCACCTCATCTTCTCTTCTCTGGGCATCCCCAACTCCCTCCCCCCTTCATCACAAGGATTCGTTTCCAGGCCCCTGACCACCCTTCCCACAAACCTCCCAGTAGTTGTTCAATATCTTCCTTAAACTGGACACAGGACTCCAGGTGGAGTAAAATACCTAAACACTTCTGAGCCCTCAGCCGTGAATGTAATCGAGCTCAGGGCAGGGTGGAAGCACAATAAGATACCCCACTTGAAACCATCAAGATCTCAACATGGGCATAGCCAGGATTTAGGTTAGAGGGAGAGGACACCCCCCGCCATCATCCTCTGTCAGATTCAGAATGAAATGCCACAACAACAGTTGTTTTAAATTGATTTCTTTTCGCCCCAAGTGCTCAGAGAATCCTGTCAAAACCTTTCTACAATTTCTCCTTTGTACTTGATTTAGGGGGGAGCAGCTGCCCCCCCACACCCCCTGGCAATGCCCATGGATCTCAATCCCATGCCCACCCCCCACCCCGAATCAAGACTCTTGATAGGAGCCAGGATGATGTCTCTTCTCTGACTCCAACCAGGAAGTCAGAGGCAGCCATGCTTCTGAAGGCCAGTGGCTGGAAGCCACAGAAGGAGAGAGTTGTTCTTGTGCTCAGATCCTGCTTGCGGGTTTCCCGCAAAGGGCATCTGGGTGCTGCTGTGAGAACAGAATGCTGGGCTAGATGGGTCCTCTCTGGCCTGATCTGGCAGCCTCTCCCAGCTTCTCTCACCATCCATTCTCCGATTTGCTTTTCCCAGGTGTCTGGAGCTGCCACAGTGATGACGACCGTGGGCAACGTCAGCCTCCGGCCCCTCACCTTCCTCCTGACTGGCATCCCTGGGCTAGAGACCTCCCAGCACTGGCTCTCCATCCCTCTCTGCTCCATGTATGTGCTGGCTCTGCTGGGGAACGCCTTGCTCCTCGGGGTCATCAAGCTGGAGCCCAGCCTCCACGAGCCCATGTACCTCTTCCTGGCTGCCTTGGCTGTCACTGACCTGGTCCTCTCCACCACCACCCTGCCCCAGATGCTGGCCATCCTGTGGCTAGGGCCCTGCACAATCAGCTTCCACGCCTGCCTGGCTCAGATGTTCCTCATCCATGCCTTCTCCTCCGTGGAGTCGGGCATCCTGGTGGCCATGGCTCTGGACCGCTACGTGGCCATCTGCCTTCCCCTGAGGCACTCGGCCATCTTGCGGACGTCCACTGTGGCCAAGGCGGTGCTGCTGATCTTCCTCCGGGGTCTGATCCTCATTGCCCCCTTTGGCCTGCTCCTCCAGAGGCTGCCTTTCTGCGGCCACAGGGTCGTCCTCCACGCCTACTGCGAGCACATGGCGGTGGTTAAGCTGGTCTGCGCAGACACCACCGTGAACAGGATGTATGGCCTCTTTGTGGCCCTCTTTGTGGTGGGCATGGACGTCCTCTCCATCGCTCTCTCCTACACCCTGATCCTGCGAGCCGTCTTCCGCCTGCCCTCCACTCAGGAGCGGCTGAAGGCCCTCAGCACCTGTGCTTCCCATGGCTGTGTGATCCTCATCTTCTACATCCCGGGGCTCTTCTCCTTCCTCACCCACCGCTTTGGCCACAGAGTCCCCCACCAGGTCCACATCCTCCTGGCCACCCTGTACCTCTTGGTGCCACCCATGCTCAACCCCATCGTGTACGGGGTGAAAACGAAGCCAATCCGAAGCAGGGTGGCCAGGGTCTTCTATGGGAGGGTGGCTTGAGTCTGGGGGGAATGATCCGGGAGGGTGGGCTGCCCCCAGCAGCCTTTGCAGCATCAGAAGGCCGTCCCTGAACCACACTGGCTAAGATGACTCTGTGCCCCCACCCACAGCATCCGGAAAAGGCAGAGGCACTTTCTCAGTCTTGGTGTCCTGGGAAAAGGCAGAGTTTCTTGGTTAGGATGGTTCTGACATGGTGGTTTTCCCACCAATGGACTGCATGACCTGCAACACGGAGGAGGAGAGAGTTCAGAGCAGTAAGAATGGAGATTTGATACGAGACCTGTGTTGCAGGAGGTTTGGTCTTGGGGAGGGCGAGCTGAAGATTTATTATTTTTGATGAGATTGTGAACTGGAAGGGGCAGCCCTCCTGGAAAAAGACTAATTTACGATGCAACAGGTCGGGAAAGTTAAAGAGCGAGCTTTTAGACTGTATTTCATCGGGACGACAAAATGGCGATTGCTTGCTCGAGCGGACATACCTGGACTATTGGATGAGAGTGATTTACGAGAGAGCAGTACAAAGCCCACACAGAAACACAAATAAGACTGTTTTTTTCAACCCAATTGCGGAGCAATTCGGAGGTGAATGAAAAGGAAAATGAGTAATGACAAGGATTGAGAAGAAGGGACTGGAAATATCATTCTTAATATGAAAGCAGCAGAAATATTCGAGGATTGGACTCCTACCGATCAAAAAGCATGGGTACCCCCCACAAAAATTTATAATTTGCAAGACAATTGGATTATATGATATGTATTGTTATAATTTGGATTAACTGTTTTGATGTGTTTAATTTGGTAATATGAAACTTATTTTAAAAAATAAAAATAAAAAAAGAAAAGAAACAGAAGGGGTGTCACAGCTTAAAATTAGCCACTGTTTCTTTAATACAAAAGGAACTGAGTCAGCATGAGTCGGCGGCCTACAATGAATCAGCAAAGCCTGCATGATTCATGCAACCTTCCACCCACATATGCCTATAATATATAGGGTGGTCATTGATGGTCTGTTTGTGGGTTGGGTTGTCAGATGGTAGAAAGCTGGTTGCATTTGATATGTATAAAGCTGTCGGTTGTGGTTGGAGAAGAAGATTTTTAATAATAAAAGCAGCATTCTGCAAAGTACTCTTTCTCAAGGACTCTTTGTGCCGACTAGGGTCTGAGGACCAGACCAAGGAGGTCAGAACCTTTTCCTTTTCAAACACATAAAAATCACTGCAACCCCCCCCCTCCCTGCCCACAAGACCTGGGTTGCTGTGCGTAAGAGAAACCTGGTGGACAAGCAGTGGCAAGAACAGGCCCACCTGCTTCACCCAACGGAGTGTCTGTTACAAAGGCCAGGTCAAGTCCTCCATCCATGATCAAGTCGTGGATGACAGCCATCTTATGAATTATTGACCTGGCATTGCACAGCAGCACCTTCAGGTCACGTGGGCATCCCTTGCGAATTCCAACATCCATCCGGACAAGACCAGACCCGGAGGCAGGGATAGTCCTCAAACAATGACTAAACTGACCTCCTCGGTAATGATGTGGTCTGGTCTTAGTGTAACTCCTCCTCTTACCCGTGATCACTGAGATCGGGTGTCCCAGTGCACCCCCCCACCCCCCCGTGGAACCTGCCCCAGCCATTTTGTTGGATTGGGCCCCCTCCCCGGCAGCCCTGGCCCTCTCCCCTTGAGAATCAAATGCAAACTACTACCGGGGGAGGCGCCTCCGGTAATGGCAGAATTCCTCTGATCGGGAGGAATCTGCTCCGTGGAAATCTGGGTCTGGCCACCACAGCGAAGGCGGAGACCCGTTAAAATCACAGGCGGGAGAAGCCTGTGAACGTGGGATTCGGCGGGCACCTTTTGCGCCTCCCCCACTCATGGGGAACCCCGGTTTTTGGGGCTCCGGAGCGACGTGGGGTGAGCGGCGTGGTGCATCAAATCGTCTGCTTCTTCCACGGAGCGAAGCCGCATAGCTGTTGCCAGAGAGCGCTGACCTTTTCCTGTGGACAATTTGACTTTAAAGTAATTACCCGTGAGTAGAGCTGAAGCGGAAGAATTGGATTTCTAAAAGTTTAATTTGGTATCGTAACGGGGAGGTTCAAAACAGGAAGTCCGCCTTCCCTTTTTGTAAATAGACTGAGGCAATGAAGTTGCAAGCTGGAGTCCTGGAAGGTCTTTTGTAAAAGATCAAATTTCCAACGGTAAAGAACATTAAACCCCCTCTTGGAGGCAGGAGAAGAGAGGGGGAAGTTGCAGATTGAGTATGCCTGCGGGAGAGAGCGAAGAGACTTAAAACACCGCCGCTCTGACCCTGGAAACGGGCTGCTAGCAGGACTGATGTCTTTTGTAATGTTCATTGACAGCGCTTAGAACGTTCATTGACAGCTAGTTAAATAAGAGAAATACATTGTTTCTACTGTCTCCGGCTGCTTTAAAAAGGAGTAAAAGTGACTGAAAATTGAAACTAATTTGAAACTAACTTTGGATTGTTTAAAAGAGGATACTATTGACTATTACAAATAGAAACTGTTTCCCCCTAGTGGAAGCCTTTGAAACTGGTTGCTTTACAATAGTTGGACTAGGGGAATTTCCAGCTGCAAGTTAAAAACCGTGAGACTCTGGGACTGACCTTGAATCTTTCAAATGTTATGGTAAATGGAAGAGGAAAAACAGACCAGTCAGCTGTTGATAAAACATTAAGGTCTGGGAGGACTTGGTAACAATCCAGGAGAGGTCTATTATTAGGCCCTCCTGTTCTTTTTGTTGCTGTCTTTGTACTAGTATATTTGAAGCCAAGAGGAATGTCGACAGAGGAGGCTTTGGTGGCTGTATTGTATAAGATAAATGACTCATTGGATCAGCTTCACAGGAAAATGGACATGATAAATGCGAAAGTGGATGTTTCAATTGTTGAGGTTGACCTGAATGCAGGGAGTATGGACAATACCAATACAGAAACCACCCAGAAATTGATACAAGAACCTATTTTGATATGGCAAGCTGTGGAGGAAGTCAGGGAAAAAGCTGTTGCTGTTGAAGGTACAGTAACACAACTGGAGAGAAAGAGAAAGAGAGCCCCAGCCCTACAGAGGCAATTTGATGAACATAAGTTGACGCTCGCTATGACTGAACTTAAGGAAAAACAGACAAATTTGAGGATTAGAGTTCACCTTTGGTGGACATGCCCAAGGATTAAGACACTCTGGGAGATGATTCATAACGAAATGAAAAAAGGTATTTAAATATACCCTTTTGAAGAAACCAGAGGCCTTTCTCCTGGGCATGGTCGGTCAATTGGTGATAAAGAAGGATAGAATTTATTTCATGTATGCAACAATAGCAGCAAGAATACTCATTGTGAAGTACTGGAAGGCACAAGATTTATCCATTCGGGAAGAATGGCAGATGAAGTTGATGGACTATATGGAATTGGCAGAAACAACTGGCAGAAATCTGAGACCAGGGAGAAGAGCTGGTGGAAGAAGACTGGGAAAAGTTTAAGATTATTTATAGAAATACTGTAAAAATAATGAATGTTAGAAAAATGTTGGAATGAAGTTATATGGCTTTAGTAGAAATGCTATAAGGAATCAAGTATAAATAGATTAATAGTGTATTATGTTGAATGGTTTAATATGTAAAGGTTCATCATTGTTCCACTCGATGTGTATGTCTTTAAGGGGCCAGAAGCAAGGGCCAGAGCAAGATAACGAGACCCAGCTTTACAGCTGTGAAACATAGCAGGTGCTGCCGAGTTGTACTGATTAAGCTGTGTTGGCAATTGGGTGTAGTATATAAGGAGCAGCACCTAGCTCTCCCATTACCCTGGGGGATGGGTTGGTGGTTGGGTCATGTTTGTTTGTTAATGTATTTAGTGTAAAAGGAGTTTTTGTTTTTCTTATTAAAACCTTGTTTAAGTTATTTTTGAGTCCCTTTTTAATGCATGGTCTCCCCAGCAAGCTCTCTGCAGCGCTACCATACTGCAAAAGCCAACATCTTTGGTTATGGGCCCAGCTGCTGAGTGGATGACTGCATATTTTTGGACTCTGAGAAAGGTTTGAAAACTCCTTCTCCTGTTAGCGTAGTTCTGTGGGTCTGGAAGAGTTCCAGAATGGTTGACCGGGTTCCTGAAGCTGAGAAGGCTCTGGTCTTCCCACAGCTGACAGATGAGAACTATAGTTTATGGTCTTTTCGGGTGGAGGCGCTTTTGACCTCTAGAGAAGTATGGACCTATGTAACTGATGACCCTCCTGACCCTGTGACTAATGCTTGGTCGAAAGGAGATGCGAAAGCCAGGGCGATAATTAATTTGGCAGTCAGCGACCAGCAAGTAGTCTATATAAGAAATAAGAAAACTGCCAAAGAAATGTGGGACAGTCTTGCAGCAGTGCATGTTAGAAAAGAGTCAGCGTCTGCATTGACGTTTTTCAAGCAGTTGTACCAGACGAAGTTGCAGCCTGGTGGTGATTTGGCAGCACACTTGAGACGTCTGGAGGCAATACGCGGCGAATTAATTCGAAGGGACATGGAGATACCTGATATTCAGTATGTTTTCATCATCCTTTGTTCCCTTAATGAGGACTTTGATGGTATAGCTAGCCAGATATCTGCCGTTCCACCAGCACAATTAACTGTGGAAGGGGTAACGGCAAGATTAATGGGCGAGTTGGACAGAAGGGAGGCTTGTGCCATAAGCACTCCTATTTCCAGAAAGAATGAGGAACGCCATATGCAAACTTGTGGTGATACAACTGCATTTAAAGCTGCAAAGCGTTGTTGGTTCTGCAATAAGCAAGGACATTTTGCAAAGGACTGCAGATCCAAAAGAAAGCAAAGTACTCCCAAGTCTGTTTCTGTTCGTCAGTCACGGTCGTCAGCTCAGCAGCCGGCATCGTACCGTAAAGACAGAAACGAGCCGCGAGCTTTTCACGCTAGCACAAGAGATCGTAAAAGAATTAAAGGTGCCAAGTGGAATTCTTTTATTGTGGACTCAGGAGCATCTCAGCA